CATCTAAATTACGTGTAGTGCTCGACGCTAGTGCTAAAACTAGCACTCACCTGTCGCTTAACGATATCCTCTATAGTGGGCAAAATTTACAGGGCAGTTTATTTGATATAATAGTCAATTTTCGTTTGTTTAGTATAGCACTATCCGCCGATATTCGCCAAATGTTTCTTTGCATAGGGGTCCGTGAATGCGACCGTAGATTCCAGCGCATTTTATATCGTTTCAACCCAAAGGAACCTCTAATGGTGTTTGAATTTAACCGCGTTTGTTTTGGTTTAAAGTCGAGCCCATTTCATGCGTTACGCACGGTGAGACAGCTCGCTCACGATGAAGGTCCCTCTTATCCTAAAGCTAAGAGGGCAATTGAGAGCGGATTATATATGGATGATTTTGTGTATTCGGTCGATAGCGTGGAGGAGGCCACCCTAACCACCGCCGAGGTTATAAGGCTCATGAAATCGGGTCAATTCGATCTTGTGAAGTGGACTAGTAATTCGCGTCCGGTTTTAGATACAATCCCACTATCACACCGTCTTTCGGCGATAAAGGAATTCGACGATTCCGATACACACAAGGTGCTCGGTCTGTGTTGGTCACCAGAGTCCGACGTGTTTAGCCTTAAGGTAAATCCGCCCGTAGAGAAATGCACAAAGCGCACAATACTGTCATGCGTTGCTAGATTATGGGACGTCATGGGTTTCGTAGCTCCGGTGGTATTATACGCTAAGCTTTTGATTAAACAACTTTGGTTATTTGAATGCGATTGGGATGACTCGCCGCCTGACAGCATTGTTCGATTGTGGCAGCGCTTTAGAGAGGAACTTCCTTTACTAAGAGAAATTAAAATACCGCGTCATATAAATGTCGATAGAAATAGCAGCATAACGGTTGTTGGATTTGCAGACGCCAGCGAGAAGGCTTACGGGGGGCGTTGTATATTTCCATGTCCAGAATAATGGTAGAAATTCGATTAGCCTCATTAGTTCTAAGTCGAGAGTCTCCCCCCGTAAGGTTGTCTCTCTGGCGCGCTTAGAGCTTTGCGCAATATTAGTACTCACCAAGCTTATTACCACAGTTATCGGCGCATGTAGGGATAGAGTTCACATAGAAAGAATATTTGCCTTTTCCGACTCCACCGTCGCCTTATGTTGGGTTCATTCTTCACCCCACCGTTGGGATACGTTTGTCGCGAACCGAGTGGCCAAGATCCAAGACGAGTTAGAAACGCGGAACTTTTATCACGTGTCCGGTAAGGAAAACCCTGCCGATTGTCTATCCCGGGGACTCACCCCGATGCAAATAATGGACCACCCGCTTTGGTTCCATGGACCTTCTTGGGTTCACTTGGATCCCTCACAATGGCCAATAACCGATTTCGAACCTTCGTCAGTGTCACAACCGCCGGAAGAGAAGAGACACGCTCTAGTGGCGAACGTTTCGAGCGAGGTTTCTCCAATCATTGCTCTGGCGAACCGCTTGTCCTCTTGGTCGAAATTATTGCGTAGCGTAATTTACGTTTGTCGATTCGCGAAGCTTTTACCGCGACGTTCGTATGTCTTAGCATCCGATTACAACTATGCCGAGTCGCTAGTATTACGTGAACTTCAACGTGCACACTTCTCTGAAGAAATTACAAGATTACAATCGAATAGAGCTTGTAGTCGCGCCTTTCAACGCCTTAAGCCATTTTTACAGGATGGGATTGTAAGGGTAGGTGGACGCTTGTCCAACTCGCAGTTGAGTTTCGACCAACGGCACCCTATAGTTTTACCGCGTAAAGACCATATCATGAACTTATTAGTCGATTATCATCATAAATTGAACTCGCACGCTGGCCCCGATTTATTGATGTCGATTTTGCGCCAGAATTATTGGATTCTTTCTGCACGTAGTTTAATACGCAATCGGGTGCACAGATGTATAGCTTGCTTTCGGGCACGCCCCAAGCCGTCATTTCCGGAAATGGCGGAACTTAGATCTTGTAGAGTGATACAATCGGTAAAGCCCTTCACGCACACCGGGTCTGATTTTGCTGGTCCGTTTAAGGTCACGCTCACTCGCGGGCGTGGTATAAGATCCACAAAGGCTTACGTCTGCATTTTCGTATGTCTAACTACTCGAGCAGTGCATATAGAACTCGTTGGTGATCTAAGCACAGCAGGCTTTATGGGTGCATTTAAAAGATTTCTATCGCGCAGAGGCCCTGTAAGTAGATTATATTCGGATAACGGTACGAACTACGTCGGTGCAAAACGTATTCTATCGGAACTACATGAGCTCTTAGCTAGCAAGTATTATAATTCGGAGTTCGCTCGCATTCTAGCCGAGAACCGCATTGAGTGGTCTCTGAACGTCCCAGCCGCGAGTCATTTTGGGGGCAATTGGGAGACTAATATTAAAAGTCTAAAGAGCCACTTATACCGAGTAATAGGAGATCAAATTTTGTCCTTCGAAGAGCTAAGTACGGTGCTCGCTCAAATTGAATGCGTAATGAATAGCCGCCCACTTTGTCGGACGTTATCTAGTGACCCCTCGGAACCGCTGGCTCTAACTCCAGCACATTTTTTGACTTTAACGCCTCTAAGGTATCTGCCCGCCACGGATATGGATGAGAACAGACTTAACATTTCCACACGCCACAAATTATTAGATCGGTTAGTGCAATCGTTTTGGAAACGATGGAGGATGGAATACTTGCATACTTTGCAGTCTCGGCAAAAATGGAACACAGCGACAGAGCCTTTAGCTGTAGGAACCGTAGTTGTGCTCACTAAGGAGAATACGCCGCCTCTCCACTGGCCGTTAGGAATCGTCGAGGAGGTCTTTCCCGGTTCCGACGGAGTAATTAGGATAGCTCGCGTTAAGACCACGGTTGGGTCTTACCTACGTCCGGTTATCCGTTTGTGCCCCTTGCCTCTTCCATAATTTAAATTAGCTTTTTTGACTGAAATTGTAGTTTAATTTAGGTAATCTTAGCGTTAGTTAGTTATTTGTTAGTCGATCTTAGCTCTAGTTGTTTAGTTATTTTTTTTGAAGGAAATCCTTCAAGGGCGGGGGGAGATGGTTGCGCGGAAAACCATTCGCGTTTTTTATTTTTGACGGTAGGAATTTGTCGAATCATTATTCCCTTCCGAAACAATATCATTCGTACCCTCCTATCGACACATCGGGGTGGTGGGGTGGGAGGGGAAAGAAGACGATTCTAGAACATCGCGTAATCATCGGACCCGAGGATATATAAGACACGCGCGACCGACGCGCGCTCTCTTCTCCCGCCGCAGTCGTCGTTGAACTACAACCTCCTCTTCCCGCGCGCTCGTTTGGAAACACCTCACTAGTGGAAACCGCTTTGGCCTGGAAGCAGTCGAGCTCCAGGAACCCGCCTCACCTCGTGTGAGATATCGTCGCGCACCGCCTCTCTCCGGAGTGTTCCGGAAGTCGCCGCTATAGTGATCGACAGGAAGAAGAAACCCCGGTGAGTCAATACTCCTTAATTATACCTGCTTGCTAATAATTTAACCCGCTCCAATTTGTGTTTTTTTCCTAGTCAAGCAGGATTCCTTTCATCGATTCGACAAGTAATAGTTTAGTTTAGGGAAGAGCGAGTGCATTGTACCGCATGCTATAGTAGTCGCTTCACATAAGCATAGAAGCAATCGCATATACAGTCCACTTTAGTTAATATCTCGCGTAATAGGTTTGAGGTTTGACCGGGGAACTAGATTTTCGGCAGCCTTAAACACGTGGCTCCACCAAATTAAATAAAAGATCTTTTCTGAAATTACTTTCTATAAAACATGTTGTTAGTACTTATATTAAATACTTACTATCATTTTTTGCTTGGTACAGCCACACTGCAGCTATATTACTGGTAAAGTTGTAACACGAATGAATCGGCTCGACCGGGGCAGGACCACGCTCTCACAGAATACCGGCGTAAAATAGCAGCGTGCTGCTGTGTTTCGTATGGGTGAGAACCAGAGACCTTTTTTTACTGGAATCGAGGCATTCCGTCTAAGTCCTCAGGAGTGACAACGCTATTGAATTTTGATTCCTTATTGAGGATAAATGTCGATGCCTATGGGCCTCAGCATCCACTTAACATCAGGTGGACTGTGTGCTCGTTTATCACTCAATGCTATTAAAAATATCATACTACACCACTATCACTTATAAAAGAAGTTAATTGGAAGTATAAAGGCTGCAACATCATTAATTGTTTAGCGCCGTGGTAGGTCAGATGGTTAGCGCTCGATTTAAATTTCACAGTTCGCGAGCAAACTTGGTTCGATCCCAGCCGGCACCAATGAAATTTTTGATTGCAATTTTAAGTGCTGATTTATTACGTGCCTACTACGTGCATCGCTGAGGTGAAGGAAAACATCGTGAGGAAGCCTGAATGTTTAACAAATAAGAAAAATATTTCGAAGACATGTGAAGTTGGCCAACACGCATTGTAGCAGCGCGGCGGACACTACCTTGCCCTAAAATCCTCTCAGAAATGAGGGTGGGCATGTGCCCAGCGGTGGGACGTGTATAGGCTGTAACGTTACTTTTAACTATTAGATCGAATTTTTACTTTTTATAGACGATGTGGCTAATGATCATCTAAAGTACTACTTCCTCAAAAGTCGACCAAACTCACTAACCATCCAGTATTTTATCCTAGTATTTTACTCGCACATGAGTAAAGAAGTAGTAGGCCCGCTTTACTTGATTTTAAAATATTTCTAGATTTTAAAGTTAACAAATGTTTATTCAAAATAAATTATATTATATTATTCATTTATTGTAAACATATCCTCCGTCCGATATATAATGTACCTGTGACATAATTTTAACAAGCTCCAAGAACAAGCTATAGATTTTAATGTGTTATATAATAATTTATAAATATTCATATAAACGGCGAATCTAAAACACAATTTATTGTTATTAAAAATGGGGTATCTGTTCAAATATTTGCATGCTCACCACACATTCCTTCTATTACTTTCCAGTATGCGATATTCCATTGGGATGAGAAAACTCAAGGACTTATTCTGAGCGGTTTTTACTATGGTTATGCTGCAACGCAAGTTCCTGGAGGTTATTTAGCAGAAAAATTTGGTGGTAAATGGACACTCGGTGTCGGTCTACTAAGTACTGCCTTATTTACATTTCTTACACCAATTGTAATCAGAGCGGGAGGTGCGACTTGGCTATTTGTCCTTCGTGTTCTTCAAGGCATGGGAGAGGTATTATCCGGCTTTTGAATTTTTTGCCAACGATTGAATTATGTTAATCAAATTTTAAAATTGATTGAAAGTAAAAATTTTAAATTGATTGGAAAATGCACAATCTAATGTATTGAAAAGCACCCAAAACTGGCTGAAGTTACATTATATTAAAAGGAAATGAAATAACGTTTTAAAGAGTACTAAATATGCAAATTCATTGATGCTCGTTTTCCTTCTTTATTCGCAGGGTCCAACGATGCCGGCTTTAATGATAATGCTGGCGAGGTGGGTTCCCCCTCATGAGCGCTCATTTCAAGGCGCACTTGTTTTCGGCGGGGCGCAAATAGGCAATATATTTGGTTCTTTTATGTCCGGTATTTTGCTATCCGATGGTAGAGACTGGGCGTATGTTTTTTATTTCTTCGGTGGATTTGGGTTATTTTGGTTTTGTTTGTGGGTAAGTAAAGATTTCTGTATAATTTCATAAATTTTCAATTTTATTTTATTCATTAAAAATACTGTTTCTTCGAGAGGCAAGGAAGATTTAGCAGACGGATTGACTCTTGTAGTACCGCAGACTTTTTCCACTTCCGAAACTGCTCCCCGCCACTGGTATATTATGTCGTCTGACTTAAACGGGATGTTTATAGAGCTATAGGAAACCATGAGATCTGTCTGGGATCATGCCATACTTCAGTAAGCTGTAATTGAATACAGATTAAAGCGTTGAACATTTTTCAAAGGTTGTATAATAGTTCTAAAAGTTGTATACCAAACTTTTCATTGATTTCAGAGCTTGCTTTGCTATAGCACACCGGATTCTCATCCTTACATATCCAAAAAAGAATTAAACTATTTAAAAAAAAGCGTGACTACGGCCGAGAATAAGGCCGCAAAAGATCCAGTTCCATGGAAGGCAATATTACGGTCAGCGCCAGCCTGGGCATTAGTGTGGGCTGCTGTAAGTCGTTAAATTTTATTACTTTACCGTGTGTTTGTATACGCGTTTCATTTTTCTGGACGCTGCTCGATACCTATTCAGCAGTAAATGTTTTGCTATTACGTTAAAACTGCATTGCAAGCAATTCAACTTAACGACATCTAAAAGTTCTTTCATAAAACTTTTCAATATTTCGGTACCCTCAATTGTGATCTTTTGTTTAAAAAAGATCTAAATAAACAAACCAATTGTGTTAAATTTTTATTTTCAACTTATTTACATTATGCATTTAAATATTTGCATGAAAAATACAAATATGTTTCACATAAAGATTTTGTAATTTTATTTCTTTCGTTTTTTTACAGTAACCGCTTTTGACGTTTTATAACTTGTCACAAGGTTAATCTATTCAGTACACGTTAAGGTACCCACTGACGATACGTCCATTTAGTAGACTCCCAAATGGATGCACTCCAAATAAAAATGTATCCAGATACGGTCCCATTGACGATACTTCCATTTGGACGCATAGCGTCACTTCGAACTTGGCAGTCGTACGGAATGGAAATAAATAATAATATGGATTATAATACTTTACCGGCGGCAGCAGCAGCGTGTATTTCATTAAAAAGTCAAAAAAACTAAACGGGACAATCCATCATAGTCTTCAAAGATGACAACGCATCTATATTTTGATTCTCAATTGAGGATACATGTAAATGTCTATGGACCACAGCACCCATCACCAGGTGGACTGTGTGCTAGTTTGTCACTCCAGTTCTAGATATGGTACATATTATGGTGGAGCAATATCATTGACTGAGGTTGAAATTAAAGAAATCAACATGTAGAGGATATTTTTCATTATAACTATATGTGGTAAAGCAACGTTGTATCTATAGCACAAATGGATCGGCTCGAACGAAGAAGGACCACGATCTCATAAAATAGCATAAAATAGTATAAAATAGCATAAAATAGCAGCTTAAATATACTGCGTCTCGTATGCTGAGTGTAAAGAACCGGATAATATTTTAACTGGAAACGAGGCACTCCACATAGTTCTACAGGGGTAATAATGCATTTATATTTTGATTATTATTCGATGACAGATTCAGTCTATGAGCTACAGTATCAACTTAACATCATGTGGACTGTGTACTCGTTTGTTGGGTGACAAACGAGTACATAGTTCATAGTTTACATAATAAAAACATATTTAATCCAATACAAAGTTTATGCTTGACAAACAGAGCACATGTACTACCATCAACACCAAAACATTAACTGATGCAATAACGTCCAAAAAATGGACGCCGGTTCGTCCATTCACTGACGATTCGGACTGCTTCCATTTGGCGTAGCGCACGTTTTTGACATCGACGGACGGCCGCGGACGACGTCCATTTGGACTGGATGCATGGATTTCAATCCATTTGGAAATCCAGAGCTGAAATGGAATATGTTTTTACCATTCACGGAACGATTTTGGATGATTACCACTCCATTTGGATTAATGGACGTATCGTCAGTGGGTACCATTAGTTTTATGATAGGTCTGATAAATAATACATATTTTTTGCAGTGAATAAGCATTATGTTATGTGCGATAGATACATATAAAGATGGCATAATTTTTATATTCGTGTTAAACATTGATTTTGTGGAGCGGATTGATGTTTCTTAACTTATAATAACACAGTTTTGCATTGTCTACGTTCATGATTTAAATATTGCAAAAATGACCAAGCAGTGAAACAATGAGCGCATTGTAAACGCCAGCATTCTTGCAGAAAAGAAGTTATTTGTATTCGGGTTCAAAGCTATTGAGATTGTAGGTGTAGATACTTATGGTATTAAACACCTTAAACGAAAAATTCGGTATTAATTTCATAGGATTTATATTGAGTGCGGGACAATGATACTAGATTTTTTGTGATTGCGTTAATATTATGAGAAAAACCGTAGCTGCAAAATTATCATGAGGATATTGCTGAGGTATTTTATTTAGTTCTTTTTAATGTTAAACATAGAACATACATTTGGTGACTTGTACACTTATGAATACAAAAATAAATCAACCTACTAGCTACTTCGGATTAATACATCATTCAGTAATATAAACTTTGGAATCTGTTGTGTGACTCAGCACAATGGTTGCGCAAACAATTAATGTCTGTGTTCGACATGGTTCAGGCCGCGAGCAACATATTTAATTGGACAAGATAAACGGCGTGTACACTTACTGTGTATTTTGCATATTTTTGTGCTAATAAATAACATTCTTAGTTACAGCGGTAAGAAATCTAAAATAAAAGAAAATATATGTAAGAAGCTAATAGTAATTTTTAGAAAAGGAGAATATTTGGACCGAAATAAAATAAAAACGATCGTCTTGTTGTTCATGATGTATTGAAGGTTGGCACGGCAAAAAAATTTTTGAATGGGAATACTTAGTTAATGTATTTGATGCTTAAATGAAAATACTTACCGGAATCAGGTGTTAATTATGCGAAATTTCGTTATAACAATGATCGGAAAATTAATAGGCTAAGATTCGCCTAAAAATTAAAATAGGTTAATCTTTTCAGTTTCATGAGCACTTATCTCCCTCTCACAATTGCGTGCACTATCATTGCCATTACTAAACTAAACTACAAAAAAAAATCTTTTTAGATTTTTCTAAACATACCACCATTCATCTCTAACCTGGTACCTGATTTGTGTGTGGTGTTGGGTTTAGTGATGGCATTGATGGTGCACACAATTGTGGAAGCTGCATTTCACCAGGTACGAAATACCATTTTATTTTTACTGCGGTTTCAGCTTGCTATTTTAACATCTTTCATTTAAATTGAAATAAGTTTTATTGAAATTTTTAGCCGACTTCGTAAACGAATAAGGTTTACAATTTGGGTGTATGTTTTCTGTATTTAAGTTCCCCAACATCTTCGGCAATTCAGAACCGATTTTTATTTAATTAGTTATACTTCAACGGTTTCAATATAAATTAGAAAAAAAATGACACCCTTAATTTAATAACTTAGATAACTTCTTTGCATCCTGTTAATTAATATATATTATTCTATATATTAGTATCAGTTTATATATATCATACGTAATTATTTTTATGTATTGATTTATTTTATTTTTATTTATAGTATTATTTAATATAATTTTCGTATCATTTTGTATATTATTTATTTATTAGTATTAGTAATGTATGCACTAAGTTTGCCATTTCAATATAATTTCCTTTATGGGTCTACTGGAAGATATTTCAGCAAATTATGGAATAAGTAGTACCTTTGTACGAACTTACTAGACTGTTTCTGTATCTTGTGTGTGTATGTGTGTACATAAATAAATTTAAGTTAGAACGATATTAAAAGGGTAAAAAATAACTTTTGATAAAATTAAAAGCAAATAACACACAGCTAACTCCGTATCTCGTATACACTATATTAACAATATATATCAACATCAACATCAACAATCGTATATCATATACACTATATTAACAATTTTATCCGTTCATTAATTGGCTAACGTTACATTGTTGTAACTGGTAACTAACGATAAGTCACGTTTTATGATTTAATTTTTTAGGTTGGCCATGACTGGGGATATTATATTATGGTTACCGACTTGCCGAAATACTCCACCGATGTACTTAAATACAACATAGCTGAAACTGGTTTATACACTGCCTTACCATATATTGCTATGTGGATATGTTCATTCCTTTTTGGATTTGTTTGTGACTTCTGCATTAAGAAAGGATGGCACACAATCAAAACTGGAAGAATCATCCATACAACAATTGGTGCGTTAACTTTTTTATTTTTATTTTGCCTTCCTGAAGAAAATTATATAAAGAGAATTATAATAAGGCGAATCATAGTAAATACATTTCAAACCGTGATCCGTGGTAGCTCAGACGGTTAACTCTAGCTGTAAATATAAGAGAACGCAAGTAACCCGGGTTTGATCCCCGCCGGCACCAATGAAATTGTTAATTGCTATTTTAAGTGCTGATTTACCACGTGCTGGGCGGTGAAGGAAAACATCGTGAGGAAATCTGCATGTCTGAAGAATAAGAAAAAAAAAATATTTCGAAGACATGTGAAGTTCGCCAACACGCATTGGGGCTGCGCGGCGGACACTTCCTCGCCTTAAAACCCTCTCAGAAATGAGGGAAGGCCTGTGCCCAGCAGTGGGACGTATATAGGCTGTACCTTTACTTACTTTTAAATTTTAAACTAGTTAACCTTTTGATCATTTACTTTGCAGCTGCGACCGGCCCAGCAATATGCATTATCTTGGCATCTTACTCAGGATGCAATGGTACAGCAGCTATGATTTACTTCGTTTTATCTATGGCGCTTATGGGCGGTTTCTACAGTGGTATGAAGGTAAAAAATTCATGAGATTATGTTCATAAATTTAAATAATTCTATATGAAGACCTTAAAAATAATTTATTTTCATCGTGAAAAACAGAATATCGACAATAATTCAATAGCAATTCCTGCATCAGTGAACGAAATTTGTTTTCACTGATTGTTCACGTTATGTTCACTTATTTTTATATTCCGTTAATAATTTTTAAAATTTTTCTGCATTAAAAACATATAGTTAATGTGAAGGCTCGTATAAAATCGCCCTTGCCACTACCTCATATTGAATAGACCTCAAAGCTTCGCATTTTAACACCGATTCCTATTATGGATTATTAGCGATGCAATCAAAATTAAAAGACATCCAATTTCAATTCAGAATATCGTCTTTTTTATAGAATAAGGGTGACAAACAAGCATACAGTCCACCTGACGGTAAGTGGATCCTGTGATCCATAGACATCAACATTTAACCTCGATTAAGAATCAAAATGCAGATGCGTTGTCATCCTCCGGACTAAGATGGAATGCCTCTTTTACAGTAAAACGGGTCTCCGGTTCTCTACACTCACCATGGTATTCTGTGAGAGTGTGGTTCTTCCCGTCTAGCCGACTCTTTGCAGGGAACACTTGAGATCCTCTAATAAATAAAATTAAATAACCAACCCCAGCATTTCACTACCAGACTTAGGAATAACATAAGTTCTATATACATGGATCGCACCAAAAAATAGTAATTTTAAACTGAGGACAACTTTGACCAACATCCCAAAATCGTACTTAACAGTCTGAATTTGCGGCGTCGAACAAATCAGTCCTCCCGTGAATAAAGAATGCTGAAAAGTACTCTAAACTTAGAGAACATAAGAATAAGATAATTGAACGCGATAATATACTTAAACATTAGTTTAACTTACATTAGTTTAAATCTGTTGTATTTCATTTATCATCGTCATCTTTACAGCCCTTCACAAGTCTACTGCTGAACATAGGCCTCCCCCAAGGAATGCCACAAAGCACGGTCCTAAACCACCAGCATCTATCGACTTCCTGCATTTCTTACCAGGTCGTTACTCCATCTAGTGAGGGATCGCCATACACTACGACTACCGGTATGAGGCTGCCACTCGAAAACCTTTTTTACCCATCTGTTTTCGGTACTTCCATTGCCACTTCATCTTACTTATCCGTTGGCCTATATCGCTCACTCTGGTTCTACTGCGGATATCCTAATTTCTAAGTTTATCACGCAGAGGAACCCCAAGCATAGCCCTCTGCATAGCTCACTGAGCGACGTTGAGCGTCCTCATACGCCTTGCAGTGAAGGACCACAAATCAGATCCGTAAGTCATGCCAGTGATGCACGCACTAGTTATACAATATAGTTTTCAGGTTTTGAGGTGAACTTGACCAGAAGATGTGTTGTAATTTCCCGAACGCTTCCCAGACGTCAACTCGTCCGTCGATTGACCTCTCGGTCGAAGTTGGACTTACCATGTCGGACTATTTGTCCCAGGTAAAGGTACTCGTCAACAAATTCGACCGAGACTTACCGTTCGTGTCGTGTGTGAGAGACTTAGTGCTTCTAGCAACTACTGGCATAGGTGTGACATGGACATTAAACATGATCTTTGTTTTGTCCATGTTCATCTTAATACCTATCCGTTGGGAGACACTATTGAGGTCATTGAGCATAATCGAGAGTCTTCCAATGCAGGGGTGAAGTGTTTTGGGAATATTACGTCACCCTGTCTTACACCTCTCTGCAGTTGTATAGGTTTCGTACTCTGGTTCTGTACTCGGTTAGCCATCGTAGCCCTACTGTACAAACACTTTAGTACTTCGATATACCGACAGTCAATTTGGCACCGCTGACTGTAGCACCGCCCAAACATCAACGGAATCAAAGGTTTTCTCATACTCCAAATACCTCAGGCAAATTGGCAAATTTTACCCTTCGGTACAATCTGCCGCAGAATATATATGTGGCCTATGTTACTGAAGCCTTTTCGGAAACTGGCTTATTCGGGAGGCTGGAAGTCGCCGAGTCTGCGTGTGACAATTCGTAATGACTCTCGGAAACAGCATATAATCGCGGCTCAGAAGGGGAATCGGCCTATAGTTCTTCAAGAGAGCGCTGTCGCCTTTCTTGAAGAACAAGACCACCGCACTTCTACTGCATGCCTCCGGAATTGAAAAGCTTCTAAAGTACATTATGTACCGGTTTTCCAACCGCTTTCAGAAACTCCACTGTATCCTCCATTCTATCCTCGCTTGGAGCCTTGCTGATCTTAAGGTGCTGTAGAGTCATTCTAATCTGACGTCCAGGATATCATCGGAATAGAGTCGGATAAGACTTTATCTTGGATCGTTACTCACACTTGCGTGTGGTTCCAACGATGATGTGTACAGCTGCCTATAGAACCTCTTAATCTCACTCAAAATCTCAGTTGCCCCAGAAACAATGCTGCCACACACAGTCTTCGGCTTCATTTTTTAACTAACAAAATATAAATGTAAGAAAAAATTAACAGATTGGCTTATGAAATTACGAAGAAACAGAGAATTTACTGTAAAAGAGGAATAGTGACACACACACACACACACAACACACAAAAACACACACAACGGTGTGTGTGTGACTGATTTAGTTTAGTGTGATTATTAGTTGTATATATATATATATATATATTATTTTTTTATATATATATAATTTTGATTATATACTTTTATTATTATGCAACGCTCACTTCATGTCTAAGTACAGTATCATCGAAAAGTATGTAATAAAGCCAAGAGGGGGAGCCAGAAGACCCATAGCACAGAGTAACCTAGTTTGGGATCCTGTCTCCCACAGCTACTCAAAAACTCTTTAACTATTTATGAAACTATTGTAACTATGTAAAAAGTGGGAGAAAATAAATGTTATTATTATTAACAGTTGGCTCTTTCTGGCTGACAGATCTCTGGCACAACCTTTGGAGCCCTGGTTCCGCTTGATCGCTTCTTCAATACGAGCAGTATTAAAGTTGCTAAAGTCCCGGAGCATGCGTTTGGAGATCTGTCTTAATGCTGCCAAATCTGATGATGACTGCAGCTTCAGTTTCCGTCTAACAGCCATGAGATTAAGTGTGTGATCGTAGAGATTTTGTGTTCTTCTGCGGCGGGTTTTGCAGAATCTAGCTCCGAGCGCATGGGTAGTTTCCAGGAGCTTGTCATTTATTTGTTGTGTAGTATTTGCGTAAATATAAATCCTGCGTCTAAGTTACTTATATAAAATAATAAAATAGGAAAAATAATGATTTCCTCTACTAAGTCTTATAAGTTTTACTATGTGTAACGATAAGTGCCTGACTAAGTAGCCGTATAACAGATGATCCAAATTCCCAATTTTGGATTGTTGGATTTAGTTGGATCCCAATCCAAATACTGGCTGTATTTGTGCAAAAAACACAAATTATTGTTTTTAAAAATAATCCCATGTTGGTCTAAGACGTGACGGTCTTATGTTTATGTAGGACTTTTAGAAATGAAAAGTAATAAATAAAAATCACTGATACGATTGATCACCTCAATTTCTAATAAGGAAAAGGAACTTATTTTAAGCGTTTTATAATGAGTAAACTGTTTTGTGTTGTCAAAATTGCGTGTCGGTTAATTAATCCAATCTTTTATGAGACTAGAAAACCTCATTTGACAGAAACAAAAAGTACAGCTTTATCTCAACCACATTAGGCCCACGTTGTTTTTACGCCTTTTCCGTTACGCCCTATTGAAGTCCACTACTGAAGAAAGATCTCAACATTCCAATGAACATCCGTCATAGATCGTCTCATAGACTGGATAATTGCAATAGTTGTTACGCTTAGCAAGCGGGTTGCCAGCCGCAGTTTCTTAATTTTGGTGGTTGTTAAGAAGACGTTGCTGCCCATTCTCCTGATTGGCCTCCCTCTGTCGCCTCTTGACACCGCCACTACGTGGATATTTATGCCTTGTCGACATTTTAAAATTAATTACATGTAATTGTTTTTATCAGGTAAACGCACTTGACCTAGCACCCAATTATGCGGGTACCTTGACTTCGCTTGTAAATACTACGTCAACATTTTCCGGAATCTTGACACCATACCTCGTTGGATTGCTAACACCACATGTGAGTATTGAAAAATTCCTCGTTTACTTTTCTTTTGATATAAAATAGAGTTAAATCTCGTTAATTTTTCGATGCAACAAATTAAAATTGGCTATAAATATAATTTATACACACACATAAAATGTATTAATATAATTAAATGCAGTCAGGCTTATTAAGTAATTTCTAACGTCTTCGAGCAAGGAATTCCAGAGATATAAGTATACCGCCTTCTTATAGATCCCAAAATCAATACTATATACTTTATCGAGATTTTAGGACTTCATAATAATAACAATGTCCTTCCGACAAAATACGGTCACTGCAAATTATTTTAAATACTATTTTCCTATGCAGGAGAGGGCTATGCGTACTCTCTATTAACTCAAACTTACAGTCCGATGTGATGGCAATCCGATACGATCGGAGAGAAATCAGGCGCAATACCAACGTCTTTACGAGCTTTCCGAGGCTTTTATAACGCCAAATGTCTTACATCGGGCTGCTATGCACTGAGAATTTCTTGCCAGAAAAACCCAATTATTGATTTTGGCCCGACCTGGGATTCAAACCCGGGAACTCATGATCAGCAGTCATGCTTACGAGTAATAGACTAACAATGCAGTCAATATTAGCAACTCGTAATATTCGTAATATCAACTAATTAGCTAGAAAAATTATTAAAAAATTGCCTTTTGAGCATAAGTGTACTAATTATAAAAATAAGATAAGCTAAATTTAAAAGCTTACTTATTTCCTACTGAAGTTACAAAATCTTCCCCCTGAAAATTATATAAAAACAGTTCATGGTAAAATAAAAAAGTGTTATTG